CTCTACACAGCACTTTTTCTTTCTTTCCCAGAGGCTCCACTGACTGATGCTCGCCATCCCTGGGGCGCCTGTGGGAGCCGAGAGATAAACTGACTGCATGTTCCACTTTATCTGTGCTGATTATGTGGTACGGAGCATGGCTCTAACAGACCCCTACGGAAAACATTTTGGAAGTCAGCGATTTCATTTCCACCACTTAGCTTCAGGACCAGGGCCAAATATGAAATCACAGCCTTTGCAAAGCCAGGCACTTCAGATTTGTGAAGTACGGCCGTCATTTTTTCCCTTAATTCGCGATGTCAATCATGCCGAAGAGTCAGGTTACCAATCCTGGAATGGTCTAAATTAGATCTGTGAAATAAAAGCACATCTTGCTCGAGTCCGTACTCGAATAAGACAGAAGTCCCGATTTCTGCAGAGTTTTGTTTTCAGAGCTGAAACTCAAACCACCTGCGTTAGCCGCCCAGGAGACAGATACACCCCACCCTGGACTGCAGGATTCAGACCTGCTTCTGTGCACCATGAGTCAAATGTCCTAGGACCTTAGGGGCATCACCTCATCACATGCGACACGATTCCTAGCTGCACATCGGAACTAACGATTACACCTTAAATCGCTTTTCAAAGGAGTGTTGCTATTGGCACAGTCACTGATCATATACGACAATATAGGTCGTTATGTGGTGTTGTACACAACGTTTAACGTCACCCCTGGATTTTCCAAGCGGAATCAATGCTTTAATAAACACACAAAAAAAGTTCATCTTGCACCAAGACAAACAATACGTGGTTCCTCTTTATACAGTACAATAGGATTACTGAAATAAGCTGTGAAGGGGAAGAGGTATTGTCTGCACCTAGATCACCTCACAACCTCAGAAGTGAACGCACACTGTATTTCAGTGCAGAGGAAGTCAAATCGTTTTACTGTACGCCTTTGTTGGAGTTCGTCCTTCTGTCCAAGAGTACAGTTTGAAACCCTCGGTCTCACTGCAATCTGTTCAAAAGGACAGTTTCTTAAAAGCGTTTCGCTTTCGCTGTTAACCAGAAACGTAGACCGAATATCGGTCAACTTCGTCCTGTGAAGTCGTCAGTTTGTACAACAAAGCTTAAGTTTACCTCCTAATTTGTCAAAATCGAATGTTTTCAAAACAAGATATATTCAACGTAGTTTACCTCTCAGGCTCGTATGTATGCGGGGAAAGCCCTGTCGAACCAAACCAAAACAGTGCAGCTCGATTTATAAAGGCGCTTAGATTTAATGTGATAGGGATCTCCTCGTAATAAAATGAGACCAAAGTTAAAACTCAGATCACCTACCTGCACCTCGGGGCGTTGAAGCACGACTGGACACTGGGCTAACGTGGGAGAAACTATTACTGCCGCTGTCGATACTTCTGACGACTCGCCGCGCCTCGCCGAAACCCAGCCGGTCAGCTGCAGACTGCCTTTCCAGTCTCGCCCAGGAGGTCGGATGCGCGCAGCTGCTGGTCAGGCTAACCGCGTGCTTCAGAAGTGCACTTATCCTCTTAGGAAGGGTTATGGGACTTAATTATCGCGACTTTTACACAGGCACAGAGCAACCCACCCAGCTGGCTCGGGAGAGGTCTGTTGCCGTGCGCCCGCCCCTCCTGAGCCCGCAGTCCAGTGCATGCCCAGACTCACTCCTGCTCAGACAGAGGAATTCGCGCACAGCACAGGCGCCTGCCAGCCCCCAGCTCGTCCCGGACCTCGGGCCACGAAGCCCGCTTCTGACAGACCTTCGTCGCCTGCACTTCGTACGGTCTTGGGAGTCCTGGACGTTGTCGGGCGTCACACTCCGACTGATGTTGGGGAGGGGAGTGGGGGGCACTTAACCGTGGTTAAAAACGAACTATTTTCAGCTATGCACTATAAGGAAAACCAGAATACTGAGAATAGACAACGTGATGACATTGTTGATCACGTCTCAGGCTTGGGTGTGCTGCCACGGATCATTTCAGCTCCGCTCGCTCGCAGCAGGGCGATCCAGACTTCAAATAAAACTAAACAGACGTGCTTGGTGTGGTCCCCCAAGACACAATCATCGAATACCATCCACTGTCATTTTAAAAACTGACAATGCTGTTCTAGCAATGGTGTACAGTACGTCGACAGGCCAGGTATTACTGTATTCCTACTGTCTTGCCCAGGGAGGCGTTGCCAGTGCTGGAGAAACCAGGGTCACCTGCGCTACTCCCTGAGCTGGCTGCACCCCCAGTCTGCTCCTGCCCACCATCAGTGCCATATCTCTGCCTACACCCCTCCCCATTCCTCCACTGCCCGGATTGCCAGGGCCTCTGCCCTCTCAACGCTGCGAACAAGCAACGCACTAAAGCTCACCATTCTCAAACTGGCTGTGTCCTTTACAGATTGTGCTCATTTACGATAAACATGAATTGCTCACCAAGAGGGTGTCTACATGGCTTAATTTGTATCCAGTCCATTTATGCTTGATACTGTTTCTGGTCATTTTGGTTGTAGCAAAATGCAGAACTTACTGTTTTATCGTATTAGTGCCATTGTTAATTTCATTTCGTTGTACTTGTAAGATACCAGATCTATAGCACTCATTCTAACCTTTGTGTGCATGGTAAGTCATGCTAGATAAGGGTATCTGCTAAGAAAAGTGTATAATAAGTAAACCAGTGAGAGTTTGCACAGACTAGGTACAGTAGGCTACCGCTTTATGTCAGAACAGATCACTGGTGGGGCACAGCTGTTTCCCCTTGAGTAACTTGTGTGCAATAATTCCAGTAAATGCCCTGCAGTGCAAATGAGTCTCCATTTCATAGTTAAAAATTAAAGATGTTTTCAATTCATTTTCCTTGGTTACATACATAATTAAATTAAAAAAAGACATGCATGGTAGAAATAATATGATTTTTTTGTCTCTTTTTAGACAACCCTGACACCTCTCAAATATGGCAAAACCAACAGCTCTGCAGAAAAGCTGCACTATACTGTCACTTTTGATTCCAGCCGTCTGTAAATAACATTGTGATGTCTGAAGAAGCCTGATCAGCATGCAAACTTTATGCAACGGCCACAAGGCTGTTCAAAGGAGTTGTTTTGCCTACATCTGCATTGGTTTCTGTACAGAACCTTCCAGTATGTTTGTTAAGATGATTTCTCCTAGATGGAGAAAAAAATAGTGCAGAAGTCAGAATTGCTTCCTGTCCTGATGGAGTAAAGGCAATTTGAATCTTTCTGAAAGCAGCACATGGCTGCCCAGCTCATTGTCCTGGAAGGTGAGAAATGTCAAAGAACAAAAATACAGGAAGAACAATGGCCAGTCTGGCCAAACCAATTCTTTAAGTTTTTATATCCAGTTACTTATGAACAACTTCAAATTAGCCCTCAAAACAGCTGTTATAATACAATTTATAAACGTATGTTAATTTGCAAATACTGTAAAAATGTATTATCGCAGCACTATCAGATACATACAGTAGGAAACCCAAATCTTTTTATGTTAACTAATTTAATATACTTGTAAATCAATTCAAAACAAACATCAGACAAAACAAAACATCCGTCCGATTCATTTGCAATGCATTGGATATTGATTAAACACAAGATACAGGCAACAGAAGACTACATTGTCGTTTTTGAAGAGAAAGTTTCATGATGTAGGTTCAAGAGTTTCACGCGGTTTTAATGAGACAAAAAGGCTTCCAAGCTCTACATCATCATAAAATAACATTAAAAAAAACAAAACATGGGTGCCACCTTATAGTGCTGTTTTACATGCAGTGTTTGTCTGCTGTATCAAAGCCCAGGATCAAAGAGTCTGTGAAGGTACTTACTTGAGCTGCATCAGGGATCTCATTTGGATCTATGCAAATTGGTCCTGCTTTCAGTGCCGGGCTCTGCCATCTGTGCGCTCATCAATACCGAGGCCAGGCCATGTAGGGAGACCCAGCCAGGCCAGTGACACCAGAGAGTCCCTGATAAAAATATCTCCTGCGCCTCAGCATTCCTCCTCCAAGCCCCGTTCCAAATGCACGACACAGCGTATGAAGGCCACGCAGCTAAAAGCAGCCTCTTCGCCGCAGAACAGATGTCAATTCATGCTGGAGAAAAATAAGTATGGCTTTGCCTCCGAGCAGGGAAAAAAAAAGCACTGGCTGAAAACAGGTTTAATGATTTTTATATGGAATAGCAATCCTCAGTCTGTATATAACAATTATGGGATATAAAATATCTCACACGCACCCATGTGTTATATGTCCTTTCCCTTTGCAAACCCAATGCATTCACAGTGCTTTGCAGAAGTAAAATGTTCCCAATTATACATGCATTTATCTGTTTTTTTGTGTGTGTGCCTTCGTGTTTTATTATAATTTAGATCTGAAACATGCTTTCTGAAATCAAATTTCACTCAATTGTGGTCCGGAAGCTGCTGTCAAGAGCTTCTCACAGTGTCAGCACACAACACAACAATGCAGCATATCGTGGTACTGAAGTTTTTCTTTGGTGGGTATTTTCTAAATATGAGGGAATTTTGACTTTTCCGATAGGGAGAGCCCCTTCTCAAGCGACCTCTCTTGGTCAAAGACTGAAACGTCAACATAAAAGCGTGGTTAAAAAAGAAACAGTCACTCTGTATGTTGTTTCTGTAAGTTATGTTGTTGGACCAATAGGAGATACTCCTCCCTCACTGCCCCAGAGTGATGGCCAGGGACACTGCACTGCAGAAAACAATGGTCATAGTGGGTTTCAATTGCAGACCCTCTGACAGCAGGTCAGAAACCAAAACCAAATTATCACCTAACAATAAGTTGTTCAAAGCATTTTTGTCAGGTAAAACATAAAGCAAAGCTTCCACAAAGTGATGGCAATACAATTTTAAAAGCTTTGGTACTGCAACAGTGCCACCTACTGTTCATATGTGGTCAATGCTCACTGGCTTCAGTTGCATAATAAATCTGAATTCCTTCTGCAGTTTTACAATTAGAGAGATTAATTAGAGATATTAATAAAGCTGCTATTTATTTTATTAACTAACACCACATAAAATGTACAGCACAACAGGAACAGAAGAAAGAAAGGTTTCTACTTCGGATAAAATGACAATAGTTGAAAAGATAAACATCAGGTGTCCTGCAGTGCACAGTGAGTCCCCATAAACACAGAACCCTGTGTTTCCAGAGAATGTTTCTATTATTAAAATCTCATTAACAAATAAAACTTCACAAAGCATTTACAAAACAACAAAACAATATAACAACCAAAAGATACAAATGTCAGCACTGGCAGAAATGGAACAGGCAGTGTGCTACAGTCTTACAATATCCTGCAACATATGTATGCAGTCTAGAAAAACAGTGGGTAATTACTCTCTCCAGCATTTCTCGAATTACACAGCATCTCATCTATTCTATAAACACTCCATTATCAAAACTCTCGGGAAAACATAAAACGAATAACACACTTTTCACTTGAATCTTCAGAGCTGAATAATCTCGAGCCGCCCAAAGTCAAACTACAGCCCAGATCAATCAACGCACAAACTCACCTGCCAAGTGTTCATCCCAAATACATTTTCCCATTACGAGGCTCCTCCCATCATGGGGCACTTTGGAAATCTGGGATTGATATTAAGAATGTTTTTACAGGTCTTCGCTAAAACTCTACCAAAATCCACTTGAGAGGAGGTTCAAACAGTGAAGAGTGACACTAGCATCAGGTAAAACCGAGATGAATCGCTCTAATCCCATAGTATCACCATCCGATTTCTCACCTCTTTCTCAGGTCTATAAAAATAAAATACAAACAAAAACAAAAAATATAGGAACCCCTATTTCAGAGCTGGAATTAGGCTCACAGATTGTCATGCTGTCTGACAGTGTGTGTCAGGGTTCCACTTCTGCTGCTGAAGTTGTTTTTGACACAGATGCATTGTTATGTCCAGAAAGTACTGCATATTTCAAACCTGATAGCTGCAAAAGATTTAATGAAAATGAACACATTTAATTATAGATGAACACATAAGGCCTGTTATTTATTAAACCAAATCAATTCGACATGGAAAAAAACTTAAAACTGCTTGCTTCCCAATCCCTTGGCGTCCTGTCAGCTGCTGCTGGTCTGGCTGTGCTCTCTGCGCTGCTTAGTTTGCAGACACTCTCTCCTTCCAGCGAGGGGGAGCACGCGAGGAAAGAAAAGGGTGATGCAGGGCTTCTGCAGCCGAAATCCGTTTCGCCGGACTGAAGAGCAGGCACTTCTGCAGGTGACAGGACAAGCCGTGAGCGGTACTCCACTCCTGCTTCCAACTGTCACCTGAAAATCTGCACTTGTATTTTGAGGAGAAGCAAAACACTCAGGCACATAATACGCTTTTTTAGAAGCCAGACGGTACTCCTAAAGCAGTCTTTTTTCTCAGGAGTCATTGTGCTTGCAGATCAGATGTCATGGTGTACAGATGAGGCTGTTACAGCGAAGGACTCCCTTCTGGCCCCCAGAAATGCGCAACAGACAGTCTTACAAGTCCACGGCTCGTCTCACACATACATTTGTAGAGACTGGCTTTTCTAAAGGGCAGCATGGTGGCGCAGTGGCTAGCATTGCAGCCTGACAGCGCGGGGGCCCTCGGCTCAATTCTGGGTCCGGGGCACTGTCAGTGTGGAGTCTGCATGTTCTCCACATGGGTTTCCTCCAGCTGTCCCAGATTCCTCCCACAGTCTAAAAACGTACTAAAGGTTAACTGGCTTCTGGGCAAACTGGAGTGTGTGTTCGTGTGTGCCCTGTGATGGAGTGGCGTCCCATCCAGGGTGTGTCCTGCGGTGCAGCTGTTGCTGGCTGGGACAGACTCTGGCTCCCCCGAGACCCTGAACTGGATGAGTCAGTTAGAAAATGGACGGGGGTGTTGAAAGTCTTCCTAAATTCTGACCCCTCGCAGGCCCCCGTTCTTGCTCGAACTTACCAACAGCAGGTCGCTGCCTTGCTCGTCCATGTTCTGGACCACTGGGTCTACGATATCGGACATCTCCCAGAACGACGAGTACTGCAGGGGAGCCTGTGCGGGCCACTCCTCCTCCCGGGGCAGACCGATGACCCTGCGGAGACGGCACTCTGGTTGAGCACTGAAGCAGCACCTCGCACTTTCATTTCTCAGCCTGGGGGCTCAAGCCGGCAGCTCCTAAGCAATGCAAGATGAACTCCGGATGTAATCGGCTTCTTATGGTCTGGGCTAAACTAGTACACTGTGACTGGATTTCCATAGCCGGCCCAGTCCTGTCAGGGCAGGGTGAGCTCAGCTCGCCTCAGCTGCCTGCCAGCACCTCAGCGCCTCTCCTGTAGCAAAGCCTGAGAAATACAAGATGCTTCTCTTGTGGCTGTAGCTTAAAGTCAGGTTGATTACTACCAATTGCTGACTGAAGACGTTATTGCAAGAAAAATAATTCTAGGTGTTTTAAAAGGAAACACAAACTTAACTCGAAGATCTTGTGGAGCTGCTGTATGTCGGAATATCCAAGAAATAATGGCCTGGAAAACAAAAGTGAAACAAAATAGATTTTAATCCTGAATACTCTTTACTTCTGGAGTTTATATTTTACGTTGTCTCAAACCTACATTATGAGACCTCTACACACATACTGCGGCACACAGCAGTGCCACTCACAGATTACATTCTTCCTTGAAGTCCTTCTCTTCATGGTCCCATTAAAATTCACACCAGGAAAACCATTTAGAAACCACGGCTGGCAAAATGTTTGTGTGCCTATCACCCTTTGGCTGCTTTCCATCCAAAACGTTTTGAAAGGTCAAACCTTGACATTAACAATTTCATCTCTGTCTATTATCACTCTGAAATCCATAAAACAGACCGAATAACTGAGACTAAAAGTTTTTTTCTAAAGATGGAAATTTTGGAAAATGTCATGTCTATTCAAAAGGCCAGGTTGTGAAATACCTGCTCAAAGGGCCATCTCTGCATATGTGCCAAGACAGCAGAATTCTCATACTCGTAACTCTACCAGGAGCTGCTTTAAGGGTGATCAGTGGGTGAAGAAAGGGATGCAAAACTATGATTAATGGGCATTCTGAAGACATGCAGGGACCCATTCCTGTCCACTGGAGGATCGGAACCAAACCCCACGGAGCAAGGAAATCAGGACTTCCCAGCCGTTTCCGCTCCGGGTACACACAGGTGCTCAGGCATACCGGAGGAGATAGAGCTCCGCGAGAATGCAGCCGGTGCTCCACATGTCCACAGAGGGGAGGTAGCTGGAGTACAGCAGAACTTCTGGAGCTCTGTACCACAGGGTAGCAACCTGGATGACAAAAAGCGAAACACAACAACCTTACAAAGTCTGGTAGCTTTTTTCTTTTACCACCCTTTGAGAGTGGTAGCCCAAAGTTTATTATCATGGCAAAGCACACCAGAACAAACTTATTTGAAAGCCTAAGGCCGTAAGAAAGTCGCCCATTTCAACATCAGCTCATCTGTAATTCCTCAAACCGTATCTCACTGGAACACTTGATAACCGCAGTCCGGCGCACACTCGGCCACACCACCAGACAAGCATTTTCCTCCAAACCAAAACGCCTTTTGTCTTTAAACACCAGAAAAAAGCTTGAAAGTTAAAAAGTAGCCAGAGGCAACATGTTCAAAAAAACACTCATGGAAGATTAAAGCAGAAAGACAGATCGGAAAGCAAGACAATTTCAGAGTTGTTCTTCAAGTGTCAAACTGTATCCAACATGAACCTTACCCCTCGACAGATCTGCACAGTACTGTTAGTTTCACCCTGGACTTCCCATATGTACAGAACTTTTCCAAAGCCTCCCACAGATTGTACGGAACTTCTGCCAGGAATCCACTGGGATTTACAACCGCGCCCTGTGCTTACGGCATGAGAAACTATGGTGCGTCCTGATGGGAGACCCACCCCTGGCGTCAGGGCCATGTGGAAGCTGTAGAGCCGGGCCAGGCCGAAGTCGGCGATCTTCAGCTGCCCCCTGCTGGTGATCAGGATGTTCTCTGGCTTCAGGTCGCGATGGACCACAAAGTTGGTGTGCAGGAAGTCCAGGCCGCTCAGCAGCTGTCCCATCAGGTCCTGAAATCAGAGAGAAGTTTGCTGTGGCCCTTTCTCCAGAGATAGCCTCTGTGAAATCAGTAACACAGGGCACCCATGAAAAACACAGCGGTGTTTATATTGACATTTCCCTCCACCAGGCACTGCGGGGAATCAATAAAAAAAGGCAAATATAGAATTACAACACAGAATCTAAACCAAGTGCTGTAAAGATATGTATCACTGGTGGCACCTCATTTAGAATATTGTTTTCATCAACCCAGTACAAAAGGTTTAAGGATACTTTTCTACACTAACAAGCTAAGATGTGAATCTTTTTTAGCCTTGAACAGAAAAGACTACAAAATAACTTGATTCAAGTGTTCAAAAGTGCTCAAAGGAATTAAAAAAGCTGACCAAGTGGACTTCTTCAGAATCAACACTGAGTGTTGTACCACAAGACAAACTGGATGAGAACATGAGGCTCTTCTTTGTACACTGCTGGAGTGTAGAACTATCCAGCTCTGAGCATGGAAGTAGTCAGCAGTGATTGCAGAACTAGCCAACTGTGAGTTTGGAAATAAAATAAAAAAACAACGTAGTTAAACTGGAATCTGGGCAGCATGATCAGTTCCTGGGGTGCTATCAGTGTGGAGTTTGCATGTTCTCTTTAAGTTTATGTGGGTTTCGTTCAGGTACTACCACAGTCCAAAGACACGCTGGCAGGTTGATTAGCTTCTGGGAACACTGGCCCAGTGTTCTGCGTCTGCGTTCTGCAGATCTGCGTCCTGTCCTGCCTGAGCTGGTTGAAGCAGCTGGAACAGGGATGGATGGTGTTCTGGGTATTCTCACCTTGATGGTGTCGACGAGCAGGCCAGAGGGCGGGGCCGCCTTCAGGTACACGGCCAGGTCCTGGTCAATGTACTCGAACACCAGCGTCAGGTCCAGCTCCTTCTCCAGCAGCTTCGCTGACACTCCGAACAGCCTGAGCGACAAGCGGGGTCTCACATCATTCAGCAAAGTATTGAGTAAAGCAAACGAAAATGGGTGCTTGCAGGTATTCAACCTAGTTATCTATTCAGGGCAAACACGTTTTACAATAAAAGTAAATAGCGTGATTGTGATATTAAGCTACAATCACTTGCATGTTGCAATATAATGTATTATTTACCAAAAACAAATAAAAGTCTGAATGTTGTATTAATAACTGCCACAATGATCTTAAAATAATAAAAACAAAGGGATATGCTTGCATTTGAGGCAAACCTTTTAGCTGTCATTGTGTCCTCAGAAATAATGCAATGCGAGAGCTATAGTGATTGTTTTGATTTGCGTGGCGACGGACACTACTGTTAAGCTGCTGTAGTGCACTGCTGTCACACTGTCAAAGTGAACCGGCCCTGTGGTGACTGTGTGTCTGTGCCGATGAACTGATGCCCATCCAGTGTGTGAGCCGCCGTGTGCCCGTTGCTTGCTGGGACAGGCTCTGGCTCCCCTGTGGCTCTGGACTGGATGAAGTGGTTAAAATACAGATGGATGGATGAACGTCTTTTCCCACTTTGTTACTTGCTTATACAGTGCACGGCAATTTCTAAAATACTGCCTCATTCACATGGATTTTCACATATAATTAAATATAATAACACGAGCAAAGGGGAGTCCAGACTGCATGTGCAACAGCTACAAGAAGCAAGGCTTCAGACAGCCATACCTGACTACGTTTGGGTGGTTGAAACAATCGATCTTCTTGAGCACCGCCACCTCCCGGATCATGAATGCGGGGATGCCGTCCCGTCCGTGGCCGGCCACGCTGAGCTTCTTGAGGGCGACCAGGCGCCGCTGGCCCTGTGTCTCCCGGGCCTTGTACACCTTCCCGTAGGCGCCCTCGCCCACCTCCGCCAGCCTCTCGTACTCCTGAGCCGCGGAGTCGCCCGCGTCCATCGCTCCTCCGTGCACACCGCAGCTGCCGGCCGCAACGCCAGACCGGGAAACGTTTCGCATGGACCCCGACGGGCGACGGGAGCAAACGTTAGAGAAGAGATGTGCAGAAAAACAGTGACCTTAAGATGGCCGTTATACCTGAATGCTTCCAAAGAATACATTTCTCCTGTCTGACGTAGGTCATGTGTCCTGATTATAAAGCGTTTGGGTTCTGTCAAGATCAATGCACAGTGTGGAATCTATAGTCACATTTTGTTCGGCATTACTTGGAAACGAAGTAAAATAACCGTTGCTAAAACGTGATAATACACCAAATGTGAAGTGAGAAAATTCTACATGTGACCCCCAAGTCACAATAGTTAACGGGAAATAACTTATAGTTTCATCAGCTCTACTTTTAAAAACTAAACCTTAACAATATTAGGG